GGGGCTTTGATGGCCTTTAATGGTTGAAAATAATCAGTTACAGAGTTGGGGGGGGGGTGGAGGGTAGCGTAAAAATGAATCGTGTCCCATGACACCAAACACTGTAGATACGCACCTGCTAGTGGCGTCAAAATAAGGTGGATGGGGTGGTCCACCGAGGTGTCCCATGACACCAAACACTGTAGATACGCACCTGCTAGTGGCGTCGAAATAAGGTGGATGGGGTGGTCCACTGAGGTGTCCCATGACACCAAGCAATGTAGATACGCACCTGCTAGTGGCGTCGAAATAAGGTGGATGGGGTGGTCCACCGAGGTGTCACTTTTTCTTTATATGCAGGTGTGGTATTTTCGGACAACTGCTGAGTTTGAATTGGAAAAGGGAGGACAGCAAAACTATTTGCCCGGCCCCCCATGGCGCCACTAATGGTAGCTGCGTCACTAGGCGGTGTATCTAGCGATACCGAAATCGGGATCATTTTCATCGGTAAGTAGGGCGGAAATTGAGGGCGCTGATGAATCTTGATCGGAGGAGGGGTCTGGGGAGATGGCTCCCCAGGAAATTATTTGATTGTATCAAAGTCAAGAGTTGTAGTTTTGAGTAGATTTGAATTCCATGTTTTTATTTTATGTAGTTATGAGACATAATTGGGTAGCCCTGGCGCTCCTAGTTATGAGACATAATTGGGTAGCCCTGGCGCTCCTAGTTATCACACATAATTGGGTAGCCCTGGCGCTCCTAGTTATGAGAATTAACTGGGTAGCCCTGGTGCTCCTAGTTATGAGACATAATTGGGTAGCTCTGGTGCTCCTAGTTATGAGACATAATTGAGTAGCCCTGACGCTCCCAGTTATGAGACATAATTGAGTAGCCCTGACGCTCCTAGTTATGAGACATAATTGAGTAGCCCTGACGCTCCAAGTTATGAGACATAATTGGGTAGCTTGCGCTCCTAGTTATGAGACATAATTGGGTAGCCCTAAATTGAGTAGCCCTGACGCTCCCAGTTATGAGACATAATTGAGTAGCCCTGACGCTCCTAGTTATGAGACATAATTGAGTAGCCCTGACGCTCCAAGTTATGAGACATAATTGGGTAGCCTGCGCTCCTAGTTATGAGACATAATTGGGTAGCCCTGGCGCTCCTAGTTGTGAGACATGATTGGGTAGCCCTGGCGCTCCTAGTTATGAGACATAATTGGGTAGCCCTGGTGCTTCTAGTTATGAGACATTGAAATGTTTATATATAAGTGAAACATTCAAACATTATTGTATGCAATCTAATATTGTTTGTCTGATCCTCCTTAAAATTTCCACATTACATTTAGATCAGTGGTTTTCAACCTTACTAATGCCGTGACCCTTTAATACAGTTCATGTTGTGGTGATTCCAAACCTTAAAATTATTTTTGTTACTGCTTCAATACTGAAGAGTATATGTGTTTTCTGACGGTCTTAGGCGGACCCTGCGAAAGGGTCGTTCGATACCGATACCCCCCTCCCCCCCCCCCAGAAAAAATAAGCTTTAAATACTTTGAAACATTAGATACATTAGTTATAACATCGATTGCATTATACTTGAATGTAGCTGTTTGGCTTAACAAAGAAAAACAAAATACTTTACTGGTAAACAGAACGCTTGAATATTGAGTTTTTGTTGATAGAAAACATAAATATTGTCAGATGGTCCCTTGTCATTGTCCTGCTGGGGGTCATTTCAATTAATTACTTTGTCTTAAGCATTTTCACATATCGCTCACGCAGCAGAGTCAGATAATGAAACTGGGTTAGAGCCCGAGTTGAATATGTCAATTATCCCCTTTATCCTGTGCACATGCATTCATTGCATATATATGATGGTTGGCACTGTGCTCTGTGGCAAAACTGGTGAGACGATCACTCAAACAGTGCCCGCCTCAATGGCAGACAGGGCATCCTTAAAAACATATAGGGTTTACCCCATACTAGTTGTGTTGCCATAATCACTTGTAACATTTGGTTAAAAAAAACGAACACTTCATGGGTTTTAAAACTTTTTTTTTAAAATATTTATTTACAAGATACACAAGTCAATTTGTTTTTCTTCCACTTTATAAAGAATAACAAATAACCACCACTGTCACCTTAAATAACATTCCATCAAAAATGGGCAAAGAACAAAATCTATGAGTTGACAATAAAAATCAGCTGAACCTCAGTTATAATAGATGGCATTGTAAACCGTATTGTATTGATGTACATAAAAAAAAAAAAGAAACTTGGAATATTCATTATAAGTGGAGGGACAACACTTGAATATTTCAACGAAACAATATTGGTTAAAACTTGGAATGCTTGTTCTAAAAGTATAAAATAATTGCACAAGAAAATAAATATTGCTGCCAAGGCCCCAGGATGGCAATCCATGGATTGATGGTGAGGGACGCTGCTCCAATTAATCTACAGATGTGTCTGTGAAATAAAAAATAGAATTGCACTGCACATGAGCAGTTAAATGGATCTCAAATATTTTCGCAGGCGACCATGCTCTTTCCCAGTTCTCAAAATGTAAATGGTATACAGGAGAAAAAGAAAGTCTGTGAATCACTGGAAAACTTGATTTTTTTTTCTTCACCTCAACCCTACTATGCTGCATTATTTTTTTAATTATTATTTTGCCAACATATTTACAACCAATGTAGATTAAATTTGTTTTCATGGGAATCCTAATAAACCTGTAGCACTTCATTTTGGAGAAAAAAGCCTTTTGTGCCTCTGCCATTTCCATTGCCCGAGGCAGAACAAAAGTAATTTGTGTATGAGTTAAAAGTAACTCCTGAGGTTGGTTATAATTTTATGAGGTGGTTACAATTTATTGACTCTTTTAATCAGGATCATACGCCAAAAATTTCATGGTAACAAATAATTCTTAATTTGTTTGCATGCTCTCACCCACAGAGAAATTTCAACACATTTAGTGTCACGTGTGTACACAAAAACTGAATCACAAACGCATGCAATTTTAGATACCGCTATAGTTTTATACAATTCATGCTGCAGTGTAATGTCCAAGGAAATAATTTTAACAGCAAGCTCAAACCACATACACAAATTGCAGCTTTAAAATGTGCTTTTACAAAGCTGACTTGACTAGGGTCAACACTCCATCAAGTGGTGTTCATAATGCAGTGTTTTTTTAACATGGTATTTGTATCTTAGTGTTTGTACCCAGGTGTTTGCACCACAATGTATGTACTTCAGTGGTTATGACAGTGTTTTTAACATGGTGTTTGTACTTGTACCCCTGTGTTTATACCACAATGTATGTACTGCAGTGGTTATACCACTGTCTTTATCATGGTGTTTGTACCATCTGTGTTTGTACCACAATGTATGTACTGCAGTGGTTATAACAGTATTTTCACCAGGATATTTTAACTCAGTGGTTGTACTGCAAGTTTTTTTACCATGGCGTTAGGACAGTCAACAAGAAATCATCTATGTACAGATTTAGCAGCAAAATCATAATTAAAAATAATAATGATAATAGTAGAAGTTGAACCAAAATATTTCCAGCTTCTTGGTTTATCTACAGCTTACTCTCACAGCACACTAAAAGTTTGTAAATCCTTCTTTAAATCACTTATGATATAAAATCACATGTTTTACAACAGAATTGTATAGTGCTCACTTCCCTGTGCAACCGTACAAATTAAGCCTCTATTCCAAGATGTCTGCCATGAGACCAGCCTCCGGTAATCTCACTTCCCCAAGATGTCCACCACAAGACCAGCCTCCGGTAATCTCACTTCCCCAAGATGTCTGCCATGAGACCAGCCTCCGGTAATCTCACTTCTCCTTGTTGCCCACAATGATAGGCTTCCCATCCTTTAGCTCAGCAAGGATATGACTGCTGCCATTGGATATAATGACACACTGAATGGGCACCAAGAGTTCCATGGGTGTGATAGGTCTCAACCTGATGGGAGACAAAAAAAATGACATAGTATTTAAACTGACTACTGCAACATATGACTTAAATTTGCAACTTCAAATTGATCACTTAGCCCGACCTTTCAAATTGATCACTTTACTGGTCCTTTCAAATTGATCACTTAATTGGGCCTTTCAAATTGATCACTTAACTGGTCCTTTCAAATTGATCACTTAACTGGGCCTTTCCAATTGATCACTTAAATGGATCTTTCAAATTGATCACTAAACTGAACCTTTCAAATTGATCACTAAACTGGATCTTTCAAATTGACCAAATAAACTGGACCTTACAAATCGATAAATTAACTGGACCTTTCAAATTGATCACTTAAAATTGATCACTTAACTGGAACTTTCAAATTGATCAATTAACTGGACCTTTCAAAATGATCACTTAACTGACCTTGCAAATTGATCAATTAACTGGACCTTTCAAATTGATCACTTAACTGGACCTTTCAAACTGATCACTTAACTGAATATTTCAAATTGATCAATTAACTGGACCTTTCAAATTGATCACTTAACTGGACCTTTCAAATTGATAATTTAACTGGATCGTTCAAAGTTATCAATTAACTGGACCTTTCAAATTGATCACTTAAATGGACCTTTCAAACTGATCACTTAACATGACCTTTCAAATTGCTCATTTTCATTAATTAGTAAATTGATCACTTAATTAATTTATCAGCACATAAAAGAAATAAACAAATCCTTTTTTTTTATTTCTCCTTTGAACAGATTAATGTGGTTCGTTTAAAACAAGTTACCTACCGCAGCCAAAAGGTAAAAGCAGAGCCAATGAGTTAAGCTGCATTGACCCACTTACCTAAATAAGTCCCCTTCCCTTAATAATGAGCTCACCTGCACCGACCCACTTACCAAGAGTTGTCCAATATAATGGCTTGACCCACTTAAGCAAAGATCTCCATTATAATCACTTGACCCACTTACCCAAAGATCTCCATAACAACGAGTTGACCCGCCATGTTGCCCAGGATTAGATGATCCCCAGACATGCACAAGTCTCCCAGGCTGTACTTGAGTGGTTCACTGAACAAATGTTTGCCATTGACTGAATACAAATGGAGGCAAAGTCTTTCCTGGAAATAAACAAGTAAACACATAAAGAACACTGATTCATTCTTGGAACAGATAAATTATGGAAGGCAAAGATTTTCCTGGAACCAAACAAGTAAATACATATAGAAGGCAAAGTATTTCTTGGCATCAAAACAAGTAGAAACAAATGTATTTGTTTCTGGAAAAGTTTCCCTCCGGTGGTCATTCACAAGCACACTATTAAGCACCAACCTGCTGTCTCTCTCTTCCCTCCCCTACCTGCTTCTCCATCTCCAGCAGTACAGCACAATCTGACCAGTGTCCGAGACAGATATCAGAGGGATGTCCAGTGTCTAGCCAAGCTGCGATGGTGCTCTCAAGATCATGGTATACCTTTCAGTACAGTGTGGAGAATGACCGTTCCATCCTGGGAAAATATGAAAAGGTCTTGAAAATTCAAAGAAATTGTGCTGAGTTTATTGAAGTAACCTATTTTGAGTTTATTGATGTAATGTTATTGAAGTAACTATGTTGAGTTCATTGAAGTAACTATATTGAATTTATTGAAGTAACTATGTTGAGTTTATTGTGGCATCTATGCTCAGCAGAGCCCTAAGTACTAACTGTACAAATTTCAGAGGCTGCTCAACAAAATAAATAAATAAAAGTTAAATGAAACTGTAGTTGAAACAGCGTAGGCCTACTAGGCTCAACCATAGAAATATTGATTCTAAAAAGGGCCCAACAAGTCAAAAAAGTTGGAAACCACTGAATTAGAGCATCGTAATAATAGCACAAGGGAGAACATTGTCGTGGTACCTTTAATGCTAAGACAAACAGATCCTGCTCTGTAGATATGTGAATGGCTGTCATTTCTGAGTCATGTCCGTATAACGTCTGCAGTGGCTTGGGGTTCAAGTTCACACTTACTCCAGCCTGTAGCAGTGACATTTTCACATGACAAAATTTGGCCAATCTTTGAACTTGTGTACATTTATAAAAGCCATGAACGAACTTAAAGACATACACACTAAACAACAAGTTATCACCCTTGTAACACACCCACCCCTTCCCACCCAAGCAACTATCCAAGCACCCATACAAGCATCCATCCAAGCATCCACTCACTCATCTAAGCACCCACCCACCCAATCACCCACCCACCCATCCGAGCAACCATCCAAGCATCCACCCACCCATCCAAGTATCCGGCCACATATCCAAGCATCCATCCATCCAAACAGATTTTTAAAAATAAAAGTTTTCAATTCCCTTTTTTTAAAAAAATGAGTCAAGCTGAAGCTTCAAAATACTTCCTCAAATTACCTGCTGTGTTATCTCTATAATCATGCAAGTTGTGTCCCTTGATCCTGACACCAAATGCCTGCCACAGTTGTCCAAGGCCAAACAGGTCACAATATCTGAGAGAATATCTGACTGAATTAACACAAAACAGACTGACATGGCAAAACAAGTTTCATATCTGTTACTCATTCTGATCACAACATTCAAGATGCTAATGAACCCCGAATTTTTCAAAACTTTTTTGACCACAGCATTTCTTCTGGTATGTAAATCTAATTAAACTTGCAAAAAATAGTAAAACTCTCATCGCAAGTGCCCCAGCAAGATTGCAAATAATGTAACATAGCGCCTAGGTTAACTACTTGACTTAGAGGGCTCTCTCACCGATATGTCGGATGGCATGGTTTACAACTTTTGGTCGACCTAGGCTGTAGACCTGCAGGCTGTTGTTTGAGTGGTAACCTCCACTCAAACAGCAGCTTGGCATCATGGGAGACCACAAGCAGCTTGGCAAAGATTCTCAGTTCAGGACAGAATGAGCCACCAACACGCTTTTTGGTCCTGCAAATGGAGACGCCAAATAAATAGCTCAGTGGCAGGTTTAAATTAATTTGATTCATTTTAGTCAGAGATATTTAAAATTATCATGACAAGACGTCAAATAACAAAACAAAAATGGAAGCCCAAAACAATAAATACTATTTAAAAAATCTGATGAGCTGCTCTGATTTCTCAAATCTCTGAATTTGTCCTTCTGTATCTATATTTAAATAATTTCTGTGTTACCTTTTCCTACGAGTTATGAACCATCAATAAATGAGAAGAATTAATGTCAATTAAATTGTTAGTTTTCTCAAAAGTAAATCAATGGAACATACACAGGCTGAAAAAAATAAAGTGTTAAAATTCATATTTAACTCAGTAACAGAGGAAGAACAATTCTGCTATTTTTTTTTGTGTGGAAATAACAATAGCCCGAATCCTTAAACCCAGTGTAACATAAGTCCATAAGTATGTGTGAGTGGAATGCCGATGAGTCATACTCTATATTATGAGTAGAATATACATAGGGCCTACATATGACCATATGATTAAACTTAAACATATAAGTTATAAGAGTAGAGTAGAGTGCTGTAAAGTCAAAGTGTAAAAGTAAAGTCAACAGCAGTAAAGCTTCAACGTAACTTGAATTATCTTAATCACATCAATAGAATGTTGTTTTTTTTAATGTTTATCTTGGTCAGCCCGCAACCTTACGTGTAATTTGCATTTTGGCCCGCTGAGCGATTCAGTTTAACACCCCTGTTTTAGCTAGTTAACTACCATGAGCCGGCTTGGCGTTTCTTTCGTTATGGCCACAAACCATGGACCATGGTAAATCGAGTCAAATATTTATATTATTCCGTATTCCGTTCCCGTTTTGCTTCGAGATTTTAATTTACTGACCGGATGTTTACATTCGAAACATATGTCACCGGGAGAATGTTTTAAAACACGAAATGTTTAATAAGTTTCGATTTAATTTCCTAACTAGTTATTTAAATTGTACATGTTTACCGCTGCAAAAAGTGACAGGGTTACTAAAAAGGCATATAAGGGAGTGAATTCAAAACAAAGTCGTCGTGGGCCGCTCAATCTGAATCAAGGCTTTAAATGATTAAGAAATTAAAAATTTATGCGTAAGTATAAATATATAATAAATATAATAGTAATAGGTAAAAGTACAGTTCAGGTGCGTATATTATTTCTAACGCATTTCGTATTTTTAAAAAATTGTATCATGTAAACTTACGTGTATTCTTTAATAATTAAATACAGGCAGTTAGAGTTAACTAATTCTGAATTATATATATCGCATCTTTTCTTTTACTTCTAAAGACTAAAGAGTCTTTAACCATCCCCCAACCAAAGTGACACAGCCCCATTTGTTTGTATTTTTCATTTCACCCTATGCCAGATTTTTAGCCACCTCTAACTATAAGTTAGTATGCTAAACGAAATTTTCAAACTGTAAACATGTTCACAAAAAAAGAATGAAATACTAGATTTTTCATTACGCACAAGCCCCCCCCCCCCCCACCAACTTTTTTTTTCCCTCTCAGAGCGCTCGGAATATAGGGGTTGTCCTTTGAAGTAGGGTGGGGGGGGAGATTAGAAGTGGAATCACTGACTAAGGCAGTGGACACACACGTCATCATTGTCCTGGACCTGGTGTGAAGCTGAAAAAAGAAAGAGGGTGGGGTGGGGTGCATGAATACTTGCAAATGTGTGATCACGTGTCCACTTTAAAAAAAAAAAATATTTGCAGTAATGGGGGAAATCGGAATGATAGCGTGGGGGTCATTTTGATAGTCATCTCATCTTGAAGGCTGCTAATACGCTGTCCATGATTGGTCAGCTCTAATTTGAGTACCCCTCCTCTTTTTTCGTATGCAAATGCGCTTATTAATGGTGACTGATTTGCACTGAGTAAAGTGAGGGCTAGTGATTATTATTTTTTTATATTATACGACGGACTCGTTTTGGCTTTGCGGTATGGTTGGTTGTAGGATCATTTTGTTTAAAATTGCAGGACGACCAAGAAACAATAACTAAAATTGTTGATGCAGCAGGCATTTTTAATGGTGCAGCATTTGGTTTATACGCGCACCTTGTGGGGCAACAAATAACGTTAATACAACTGGAATTTCTCTAAGGTGCTCATAACAATTGCAATGTGGCTTGTAAGCTGGGTTCGTATGTCAAGTGTGTGAGTGTGAGCTCCCCATAATTACCGGGATCTGAATATCACCCGACACGGGATTTCACCCGAAACGGAATCTCACCGTATCCCACCGGGATCGGTAACCCACTGGATCGGGATCCCACCGGGATCAGGATCTCACTTGGATCAAAATCCTATCGGGATCGGAATCTCACCGAAACGGGATCCCACCGGAATCGGGATCCCACCGGATTGGGATCTCATTTAGTTTGGGATACCACCGGAAACGGATCTCATCGGGATCGGTTTCTTACCGGGATCGTGATCCCACCATTACTAGGATTCTATCGGAATCACATCGGGTTCGGGATCCCATCATGATCCTTCCGGGTGCCATCGGAAAACGGGAAAAACGAAAGGTTCACATAAGACGTGTTTTTTTATAGGAGACAAATTAATTATTTATTTTTTTGACTATAGTTTTGTTGTTTTGTTGTTGACATTTCGTTTAATAACAATGTGAACTAAAAGGACGTAGCAGATGTTTTTTCTGAATGCAGCCCCGGGCAACTCCTGTTATAGTTGATAGTAAAGTTATAAAATAAATACATCATTTATTTTAACTAGATTCATCCAATTGGGCAACTTTTATAAAGTATCTTTAAAGACAGAAGAGTTATCCTTGATTTACCACAACGGCTCCGTAAAACACGAAAGATTCATAAAAATGTACTTTTTTAATCTCGTAAAATTTGTTAAATTGTTGTTGTATTCCAATAAAAAGATGGTATATAACTTTTAAAATACTTTTTATAAAGAATTAACATAAGTTTACACGGGAAAAAAAGAGATTCAAACAGAAATAATATACGCACCTGAACTGCATCTTTACCAATATAATATAATATATATTTTTGTTTTTCTATTGAAAATACTAATTGAACAATTAATAATTTCCTAACAAAACTTAACTTTACAAATGTTTTGAGTTTATATTATAGGTAATTTAATTACCTACGACAAATTGGCTTATTATTTCTAAGAATATGTTTAATAATAATTAGGAAAAGTGCAGCTGAAATTGTACATACACTTAAAAATAGAAAATTACCTAGATTTAATTTGGCTACAGCGGATTTTTCAATCTGCTAGTTTATCTGTTAAAGCATAATTTTTTTTGGCGGGCACTACGTACACTGTGGCTGTGTACCTAGTGAAACTATTGAATTTGGCCTGCGTACACCGCTGCGGTGTACCTAGCTAAATCATGGCCTGTGGCCTGCGTACACCGCAGCGATTTAAAGTAGCAAAACTATGGTCTTTGCGAGTCTTTAACTTTTTTGCCTAACCGGTACTTGTAGATTTAATGTTAAAACTGAAAACTATTTCTTTAAAATTCGTTTATTACCTTGGGAAGATTTTGAGTAAGTTCCATGCTTATGTGGATAAGTACTTGTAAAGTATTTCTTTTTATATTTTGGAAGGGAGGGGGCTGGGGGTGTAATGTTAAACCATGATTTATTTTTAAAGTTAACAACTTTATTTTCCCCGCCCCCCCCGAAGATATTGAAATACAAACATATTTATTAATTGTTGTAAGTTTTATCATATGATTGTGAATCTTAATAGGTTTTAAAAAGGGTAGCTAATTTGAAATTATTCTTCCCCCCCCCCCAAACAACAACTGGGTGGGGGGGGCATTATAAATATAACATTGTATGTGATCCCTCGGGGCGTGGTGTAAAAATGAATGGGAAGCCAGTGAATCTATTTTGTTAGCACAAAGATATAATTACGCCACAAATACACTACGGGAAGAGAATCACATACTAATTAATACATTGATCATGAAGTCGTGAAGTTAATGTTGTCCGAGGCATTGTCATTGTGATACCAAGCGTGTGTCAACACAAAACAGCAGTAAGATGATAAATACGAAACACTGCAGTGATTTTTAAAAGTCTTTTAAAAATAATTAAATATCATTGATTTAGTGAATGCCCCCTTTTTTGTTAAGCCTCTGCCCATAACTCATCACCACCCCCGGCAAGGATCCATTTCTTAACAATTAAAAAAAAAAAACAAATACAAAAACTTTGACATAGCACAAATCCTGTCCCAAGCCCATTGTGCAATGGTTTCTGTGAGAAAACGTCATGTTTTACCCTGAGAATAGCACATGACATGCCATTCTGGAAACAAATTTCGTCATGAAAAGGGTAAACGCAGACCTATGCCTATGGCTTTGCTATACAGTTTGCTACCGCTCCGCAAGTCTCTAAAATCGAGGTGTTTTCAAAAGATTTGCTGTGCGACTGAGTGTTGTGAATGAACCTTTGATATCGTGTGTACATTTTGCCTATGCATAAGGCATAGTGAAAGCAAGATGGTTCAAGGTTGAAATACGACCATGCACATTAATGACATTAAAATTATATGATATTAATGATATACTGGTATTTTCTTTGGGTGTTCGTAAAAGTAAAATGTAAATTATCAACTACACGAAGAATGTTGAGGCCGACACAACTTGTTGAAGCACTTATATATACATAAATATATAAAATGTATTTAATATAATATTTAAACATATATTTAAATTGTTTAAATTGCTACAAAATGTTTTAAAACTTAAATGGGAGGTAAAAAAACTCGATCCCCTACTGGGCATTGATCTCGAACTACATTATCGCCAAGCGTCCACTCTACCACTTGACCACACAAGATCTTCTCTAATAAGCTTATCT